GAACCTATGAATGTCTTAGTAATCTAGCACAAATATCAAATTGACCAAGTATAATGTGTGGAGTAATTATGCAACTAGTGACTGTATCAGAGACTGAAGTAAAACTAACTAAACCTTTTGTAATTTCTAGATTTAATGAGTGAAAATGAATGCAATATATGAATTATCCTTGAAGTTTAAGTCCACCAATCATCCTAATTCCTCTTTCACTTGAGTTCCTATTCCTTTATTAGACTCGGTTTGTGAAGACCTTCTCCAAACAATGAATTTAATAATCGAGAACCCTAACTCATCAAACTCATCTTAATGCCTAATATGAATTATGCTCTGCAAAAAGTATTCTACTCTCTTAATTAACAATGTTAGAAACCTAACCAGTCAATCAAGAAATTCAAATACTTAGGATGAAAGAATCCATATAACAGAAAGAAATACTAATTTAATCAATCAATTAAAGTGCATAATATGATTCAAATCTTAGTTTCAATATAAATCAACTGAATTACACCTTAGTATAATTACAAATCACAAATCTAAACCTTAGAAATTACAATATATGAATGTAAAGAGTGAAACTAATAATAAGGTAGAAAACCAAGATCAAATCATTGAAGTATGTGGATGAAGGGCGACTGGCAACGATGTAGAAAAGGAGAGGAAGAAGAACGAGGGTAGTAGCTTAAAACAAATGAAGGAGGTTATGAACGGAAACGAAGGAGAAGATAGAAGAGGGAAAACCTGTAGATTTAGGTGATTGAGGACTCCTTACTTGCAGATCTGGGGAGTAGTGAAGATAAGAGTGAATGTGGAGAGTCCAACAATCTTGAAGAATACCTACTTGACGAGAAAGAAGGCAAAGATGCATAATGGAAAGATGCATGATGTTGAACTTGGACGATCATGGTGAAGATGCGATGGAGAAAACAGAGAAGAGGAGAAACCATATATTTAGGAGGAAAGTGGAGCTGACAGCAAATAGGTTGTAATATATTAGGGCTTTAGGCTAATTCATGTCTATAATGATACAAAAAAATAAAAAAAAAATAGTCATGTCAAACCAAACTATCTAGTCCAAAGGGTGAGCCCAAAACTCGGTCTATCCTAAGTGACTAACCCAATCTGGTCCAGTCCAAATTTCTTTTAAATTGTTTTCTTCTAGGTTGGACTAGACTAGGTTTACCTGGACCGGGCTTTTTATGAACAGCCTTACCTTTTAAACCCTATTCTTTTTTTTTTTTGGATAAAGCTTTTAAACCCTATTCTTGCACCATGATGTTTTGCCATTTTAAAATCACCAACTATCATGCTATTCAACTTAAAACCATACTTTAACCATAACGTACAACATATGATAACCAAAGAGTTAAACATTCATGATTAACATAATACATAACATAATCCCAAAATATCATGACATAATAAAGGTCTCCAAGTTATGGTCATCTCTTTGCCTTCTCCTTTGGAGCTTTTGTCCCCTAAATGGTTAGGATTTAAGTACAATAAGGTAAGATTCCAAAGAATTCCAATAGCAAAGAACAACAATTATCGCATTAAAATGCAAGATCAATTCATGTTATATGCAAGCATTTAACTCATGCATTATCATGCCGTCAATATGTCATGGAAAGGGAGCACATAACACACCATTCAATAACGCAACTAAACACATTTGTCAAGGCATCAATGCAAGGAGTTAATCACATTTCAATATTTAAAACTCAACCACATCATGGCACATACATATAATACAAACAACCAAGACAAGTTAACACTGAAATTGGAAGTCCTTGCTATCTCTTTGAAGACTTGATGTCTTGATTTCTTCCTCTTGCTCTTGAGCTTTTCCTTACCAAATGTCAATGCTATTAATCAAACAACAATGGTATTCTAATCAATTTCAACAATTTCATTAACACTTTAACCTAAAACCCTAATCCCGTAACCTTTATTTTAGGGTTTTAACATCATCCTTTTTAACTTAACTTCCACATGATTTTTTTAATATTATTTTTTATGTAAAATCCAAATATAGACTTAGATTTATCAAAATCCAACTCCTTTCCCTACATCTAGGTTTGGCCGAATGATACCCTTGGAATCTAAATTTTTCATTTTCAATTTTAATGCTTCCAAACATATGTTCTTCACATATCCCTACACAATTTCACTTTTAAACTCATTAGAAGCATCAAATTAACAAAAATAAAACCTGAGCTTATGGAAACCGGTTGGCCCAAAATACCTCCAACTTCACAAGTTGGAATTCTTTCCAAAACAAGGTTTAAGCATCATAATCTAAGCATTCTCTACTTTCTAATACATAAATCAACCTTGAATCATTCATATCTCAACATAAATCAAAATAAACAGCACCAAACCCTAATATTTCATGCTCCAAACTCTATCAAAACCATATTTAAAACCATTAAACTATGAGGCATCGTAAATTAGAAAAGAAATCCAAACTCTTACCTTAGTTTAGCACTTGATTTGAGCTAGGATTTGCTTGATCTTCCTCTCCTCTTTCTTCTTCCTACTTTGGCCGAAAAAGCTCTCCCCTCCTTGCTTCTTGGTTTGGCCCAAAAATGGCCCAAGAAAGGAGGTGGTTCCATATTTATAAAGTGCCAAAAATTACTACATAGTAAGTTTCCATTTACCATTTATCTTTACCCTTTAACGCTTGTCAAGATCTTGCTCCATCTCCTTTCATGACCTTGCCACATTATCCTTCTTAGATGCCCCCCTATTCAATACCATAAGCCACCTCACATGTGCCACCTATTACACGTTTAGGAAATGCAACTTTTTTATTCAATAATTTCTTTTTTCAAGTTTATCATTCAACAAATTATATTATTCCATTTAGGTCATTCGCTCTCCATTTTGGCACCAACTCAACTACAAAAATGGGAAAAAAAATTTGTTCCACCAAGCTTATATTCATTATACTATACAATCTCACGGTATCAGTTAATTTTTTCTTGGATCCTATTAAATCCACTACTTTCAAAACTTCATTTCTTTGCTTCAATAGCTTTCTTTTGATGAGGAGAGGTTTTTTAAATTTTCTCAGATTTTATTTTAACCTCTAACTTCTTTAATTAAATTTTCCCCTAAATCAGCCTTCTACCAATGAAAATTAAGCTTTAAATATTTTTAAAGCTACTCTCTTTGTTTCCAAGGGTCAAAAATAATTTTTAAATTCATAATAATCTCCCAAATAATTTTTCTAAATTTTTCATGAATTATTGAGGCCCCTATGTGTTTTAAATGATTCAATTTGACCAATTTTTCTTAATTAGCCAAAATTTCAAGAAAATACCAAAAAATCTAGAATAAACTATTTTTATACTGTTTTCATCTTACAGGTCTCAAATAGTGTTTTATACCCTTTATTCTATTTTCATATTTTTTGAAAATTTTTGGGAATTTCAGGTGTACTTTTCCACTCTGATTAATATTAACCGGATATTTTAGAAATGACAGTTCGATTTCTGATCTGGTTTCAGTTCAAAAGTTGTTCTGTCTATGTCCCTACGGCACTACCTGACCCTCGATCAATCCTAATTTTCTCAATTTTCAGGTTAAAATTAATAGGGTATGATACTGGGTAACCTTGACCAGGCTAACTGGGATAACTATTGGGTCACTTTTTGGAATCATCTGTTCGAAACTTTGGAATGCCAATTGGAATGCCAGGAATAAGTATCATCTGTTCGAAACTTTGGAATACATACTTTCGATACTGTTCACTGTTTGCACACTGGTTGATTAACCTTTCTTGTAGTCTCCTTTTGCTGATGCACATTTCTTAGTTCAATGGAATTTCCTTTACTCAGAAAAAAAAAGGAGAAGGGAAGGGAGATGAAATATGAACGCATCACGCGACCCATTAATGATTTGATTAATTCTATATATATAACAAGTAATGGCCACAAGGGGATTACTCTCCCTCTCCCTCATAGTGCCACCCACTTGCCCTTTTTTCTTTAAAAAAAAATATTTATGTTTAATTAATTGATTAATTTTCTATATAACCATATATACTTATATATTTTACTAATATTATGATTTGCAATTAAGTCATCAAAATTTAATTCTAATTAATTCTCAAATATAACTTATTCCTGAAAATTAAAAATCGAGAAGTCACACATGACATAGGAAAAAAAAAAAAAAAAACCTATGAAGTTTTAGAATTCATCTTCAGGTCAGTAGAATGGTTTGTCCTCCGACGATTGGAGTGAATAATACAATTAATGATAAGCATGTTTGGTAATTCACAATATTACATTTTGCCAAAAACATAAGTGTATTGCTTTCGACAACTGTATTGAGTGAACGGTGCCACCTTCCACGGTCCACCTTAAATACACTGTAAATATTTGAAATAATGGTTAAGACTAAGAAAAAAGCTAGGCGAGTGAAAAAATAATATTTAGCATAACTTTGAAGAAAGCTAATTTCCCCCAAAATAAATCACATTGAAATTGAAGAACTTTTTCTCACTTCTAACATCTGGCTTTTGATCATATCATCTAATCAAGCTTATCAAAGTAATTTTTTTTTTACAAAAATTTATTCAAATATATATTATATCACACTAATTAACTTTTACTCCCACATTATTTTGTAAAAAGTTAAAATAAAAATCACTTTCAGTAACGTTACAAACGAATCCCAATTTTTTATTTCTTTTATTTTTCATTCATACAAAAAGAAATGGATTATGACACAGTTGCAGATGAGATGAGCATGAGGGAAAAGAGAGGGAAACAGAGGAGGGCGAAATGGGAGGGGGAGGAGAGAGAGAGAGAGAGAGAGAGACTGAAATGCCCTACATAGGCTCTACAATTTTAGTATCCCACACACAGCGTATAATTAACCGCTACATCCTAACTGTCATTTAACTAACTATGCACACGTCAGATTTAGTTACTGTTCAGGTAAATTTGTAAAATGAACCTCAAAAAGTAACACTGGAAAAAGAATTGGAAATGGATAAGCAAAAAGAGAATTGAAAATATTCATTGCACAATATAGCTCATAAGAAAACAATAATGTCACGTCGCTCAAACAATATCCGGAGGTCTACTCTAAACTCCAAACTAAGTCACAATTTGTCTATATAACCAAATGACTAATAATTCCAAAAACTCTGGCACATATCAATATATTTAGGAAAGGTCTAAACTAGTTGGAGCTCCGAAACCCCCAGCACCACGTCCAAAACCAGATCTCCCACCAGAACCCTGCTCCATGGAACCAATATAAAATTAAACATGACAAAGCACAAATCATATTTGCTTAAATTCAAAGCAAAAGGTTGCTTCCCCCTTGGATCAACGCAGGGGTATAATCAGAGTTTAAGAGACAATAATTTATTAAAATAAGATCAAGTAACTTGAAATGGAACAATAACATAGGAGACAGCTTCCAGCATAGTAACGTTTTCATGAACTTGTAAACATAATTATGGAGATTAAGGACCCCATCAACAACATAGATGTCTATTGCTTCAAGATTATGGTCAATGGAGTTAAACTAAGACACAGCAATTAGAAGTCGGAATGTCACGATGGAAGCAAGAGTACGAAACAAAGGTTGTATTGCTTCATGAAACACAGCGTTTTCTCATCATAAATCAATTCCCACGGATGTAGTTACTGAAGCAAAACTATTTGCAACATAACAATCAAAATGTCGCAGAGAACCTAAATATGAATCAGGAATGCCACAAACTGCCAGCCTACACCAGCTATCGTAATTCAACAGTTATCAGTAACATATCTTCTAAATGTATGCACTATGCAGCAAGAAGCAACAACAACCTAACGATGAACTTAATTTCAACCGGAAAAAAAAAAAAAAAAAAGCAACGCCGCAGTAAGCACAGATACGAAAGGAATACTGAATCTGGTGACTGTTGGGTAGGCAGCAAAAACGAAAACGAAAATTACCCCGAAAGAAGGTCTGTAATCGACAGGCGCTCCACCCTTGTCACCAAAGTCACCACCAGGTCCTCGGGGAACCCCACGGTATCCATCGCGGTCACCAAATCTCCGTTCTTCGAATCTGGGTGGACCTCTGTTCACAATCATATATGGTTACCAAGTTGCACTCAAATATAGAACCATAAAAGACATTAAAATAGATGAACACATACTATACAAGAATGAGAAGTATATTAGAATTGAATCAGTTAAGAAAGAGCAATTCACCTTGGCCGATCGCCAGTTGGGCCGCCAAAAGGTCTACCAACAGGCTTAGCTTGTTTCTTCAAAGTAGCAGGGACGATCTCAGAAGGGAGGTTGAGGTAGGTTCTGAGGAACTCGATGCCATCGTTGGTGAGATACCAGTAATAGTGCATCCAAGCGAAGGTCTCACGGACATGCTCCTTCGACTTAAAGCTCTGCATCAGCTTAATCACCTGTAGATTCGGCACATCAATCTCGGGGTGTTTCAGCAAATTGAAGTCCTTCTTCGCATAGCAAACTCCCTCTGCAAAGAAATTGCGGAATTTAAACACAAAGGGGAAATCAATGGGAGATTCAAACCAGAAGGAAAATAAAGGATAATGAAGGGACCTTTGAAGAGGTATTTGCAGATCTCTCGACGATTCTTCTCGGGAATGATCTAGAACAGTAATTCACAGAAAGCATAAATCAAATCCGCCAAATAAGAAAGACCACAAATAAGTGAGATTACTTTTCAGTGAACTGTTGAGATAGAACACAATACCATGGCTGTAGCAACGGAGGCGACAGTGAAGCACAGAGCTCGTGTGTGCGCGACACTAGAGACCGAAGATTACCCGGCTCTTGGTCGAGAGCTACAAAACCCTAAATCGATCACGTTTATATATGACTTGGAACTTGGAATTGGAACTGGATTCATTTACGTGGGTTCTAGCTGGGCCTTTTCGTCTATCAATAGGCTTTCAGTTTTCACTTTTTTATGCTGCGCTATATTATAAAAGAAGAATTTATAAATAAAAGTTTGTACCAAAAAAAATAGGGAAAATTCCAGAAAAAGCTCTTGGAATATACTAAATCCCAGATTGGGCCCTTAAATTTCGAAAATAACAGAATGGGTCATTGACCCAATCTGTTATTTGTGAAATTCAGGCGAATTGACATTTTTACCCCTGAGCAAAAGTGAGTAGTTATTCTCTAAACAAATCTAGGTAACGCTTATACTGTTCTAGTGATTACAAGATTCATTGTAGTTAATAATAAGGTACCTGACAATAATAAGATACCTGACTATGAAAAAATGAGTAGTTATTCTTTACACAAATCTAGGTAATGCTTATATTATTCTAGTGATTACAACATTAGTTGTAGTTAATAACAAGACACTTGACTATGAAAAAGTGAATAGTTATTCGCTATACGAATCTAGGTAACACCTAAACTCTTATAGTGATTCCTTGAATCATTGTAATGAATGAATAAATGAGGGCAAAATTGTCAATTCGCCTGAATTTCACAAATGACAGATTGGGTCAATAACCCATTCTGTCATTTTCGAAATTTAAGGGCCCAATCTGGCATTTCCCATATTCCAAGGACCTTTTTTGGGATTTTCCCTAATATTAGAGGGTGAGGTGGCATTGAAGCAACTCTATAGCTATCAATACTTCTGTTCTTTCCCTACTACACTAAGGGCCTGTTTGGGATCCCAAATGTGCATCTCAACAAACAAAAGCTTTTTTTTGTTTGTTAAAAGTAATGTTTGGCATACCGTTTTTGTAATCTATCATAGTCAGATATCTTATTATTGTCAAGTACCTTATTATTAACTACAACGAATCTTGTAATCACTAGAACAGTATAAGCGTTACCTAGATTTGTTTAGAGAATAACTACTCACTTTTGCTCAGGGGTAAAAATGTCAATTCGCCTGAATTTCACAAATAACAGATTGGGTCAATGACCCATTCTGTCATTTTCGAAATTTAAGGGCCCAATCTGGGATTTGGTATATTCCAAGGGCTTTTTCTGAGATTTTCCCAAAAAAATATATAAAAAAAAAGAATCCCATTTAAATTCACCCAAAATATCTAAATTTAGATTTAGGCTTACATTTTTAACAAATTTTTAATTAGATCATAAGAATTAATTAGAAATTTTTAAATGTTGTTAAATAACCAGAATGTCATTCTTTAATTAAAAAGAAAAATTGATAATTTTACTTCTTTCAAATAAGGGAAAAAGACAGAAAAATAGCATGTTAACTTAGGAATGACCAGAGCGTCCGCTCAACTTGCAAAATCTCATTTTGGTCATATGAGACCAAATTGGCATTATCTTATTAAATGAAAAGACCAAACTGCCCCTCATTTATTTATTGTTTTTAAAATACCAAAGGCTCCTACTGGTCGGCCGGTCGCCGGAGCGACAATTGGTCACCGGAACTCCAGCAATCAGAAATAATTTTTTTGAAAATTTTTACAACTTCAGTATAACGGTTAACAACTTTTGTAACGCTATTAACAACTTCAGTATAGTAATTAACAACAGGTTTTCTGGAAAATTCAACAAGCTCCAATAGCCGGAAACAATTTTTTTAAAAATTTTTACAACTTCAATATAACAGTTAACAACTTTTGTAACGCTATTAACAATTTCAGTATAGCAGTTAACAACAAGCTTTCTGAGAAACTCAAGAAGCTCCGGTGGCCGGAAACAATTTGTTTGAAAATTTTTACAACTTCAGTATAACAGTTAACAACTTTTGTGACACTATTAACAACTTCAGTATAGCAGTTAACAACAAATTTTTTGAGAAATTCAACAAGTTTCGGTGGCCGGAAACAATTTGTTTGAAAATTTTTACAACTTCAGTATAACGGTTAACAACTTTTGTAACGCTATTAACAATTTCAGTATAGCAGTTAACAACAGGTTTTCTGGGAAATTCAACAAGCTCTGGCGGTTGGAAACAATTTTTTTAAAAATTTTTACAACTTCAATATAACAGTTAACAACTTTTGTAACGCTATTAACAACTTTAGTATAGCAGTTAACAACAAGTTTTCAGAGAAACTCAAGAAGTTCCGATGGCCGGAAACAATTTGTTTGAAAATTTTTACAACTTCAGTATAACGGTTAACAACTTTTGTAACGCTATTAACAACTTCAGTATAGCAGTTAACAACATATTTTTTGAGAAATTCAACAAGTTTCGGTGGCCGAAAACAATTTGTTTGAAAATTTTTACAACTTCAATAGAACGGTTAACAACTCTTGTGACGCTATTAACAACTTCAGTATAGCAATTAACAACGGGTTTTTCAGAAAATTCAACAATTGTTCGGGGACCGAAAACAATTTTTTTGAAAATTTTTACAACTTCCATATAACGGTTAACAACTTTTGTAACGCTATTAACAATTTCAGTATAGCAGTTAACAACAGATTTTCTGAGAAATTCAACAAGTTTCGGTGGCCGGAAACAATTTGTTTGAAAATTTTTACAACTTCAATATAACGGTTAACAACTCTTGTGACGCTATTAACAACTTCAGTATAGCAATTAACAACAGGTTTTTCAGAAAATTCAACAATTGTTTGGGGACCGAAAACAATTTTTTTAAAAATTTTTACAACTTCCATATAACGGTTACCAACTTTGTAACGCTATTAACAATTTCAGTATAGCAGTTAACAACAGGTTTTCTGAGAAATTCAACAAGTTTCGGTGGCTGGAAACAATTTGTTTGAAAATTTTTACAACTTCAGTATAATGGTCAACAACTCTTGTGATGCTATTAACAACTTCAGTATAGCAATTAACAACAGCTTTTTCAGAAAATTCAACAATTGTCCGGCGACCGAAAACAATTTTTTTGAAAATTTTTACAACTTTCGTGTAACGGTTAACAACTTTTGTAACGCTATTAACAATTTCAGTATAACAGTTAACAACAGGTTTTCAGTAAAAATGCTACTTTTTGAATTTTTTGGAAAATTTGTTGTTAACTGCTATACTAAGGTTGTTAATAACATTACAAAAGTTGTTAACCATTATACTGAAATTGTAAAAAATTTAAAAAAAAAAAGTAGTTGCTAAAGTTGTAAAAATGCTATTTTTTTAAATTTTTAAGAAAAGATGTTGTTAATAGCGTTACAAAAGTTGTTAACCGTTATACGGAAGTTGTAAAAATTTCCAAAAAAATTGTTTTCGGTCACGCGGACAATTGTTGAATTTTCTGAAAAACCTATTGTTAATTGCTATACTGAAGTTGTTAATAGCGTCACAAGAGTTGTTACCGTTATACTGAAGTTGTCAAAATTTTCAAACAAATTGTTTCCAGCCATTGAAACTTGTTGAATTTCTCAGAAAATCTGTTGCTAACTGCTATACTGAAGTTGTTAATAGTGTCACAAAAGTTATTAACCATTATACTGAAGTTGTAAAAATTTTCAAACAAATTGTTTCCAGCCACCGAAACTTGTTTAATTTCTCAGAAAACCTGTTGTTAACTGCTATACTGAAATTGTTAATAGCATTAAAAAAGTTGTTAACCGTTATATGGAAGTTGTAAAAATTTTCAAAAAAATTGTTTTCGGTCCCCGAACAATTGTTGAATTTTCTGAAAAACCTGTTGTTAATTGCTATACTGAAGTTGTTAATAGCGTCACAAGAGTTGTTAACTGTTATATTGAAGTTGTAAAAATTTTCAAACAAATTGTTTCCGGCAACCGAAACTTGTTGAATTTCTCAGAAAATATGTTGTTAACTGCTATACTGAAGTTGTTAATAGCGTCACAAAAGTTGTTAACCGTTATACTGAAGTTGTAAAAATTTTCAAACAAATTGTTTCCAGCCAACGGAGCTTCTTGAGTTTCTCATAAAACTTGTTGTTAACTGCTATACTAAAGTTGTTAATAGCGTTACAAAAGTTGTTAACTGTTATATTGAAGTTGTAAAAATTTTTAAAAAAATTGTTTCCAACCGCCAGAGCTTGTTGAATTTCCCAGAAAACCTGTTGTTAAATGCTATATTGAAGTTGTTAAGAGCGTTACAAAAGTTGTTAACCGTTATATTGAAGTTGTAAAAATTTTCAAACAAATTGTTTCCGGCCACCGAAACTTGTTGAATTTCTCAGAAAATATGTTGTTAACTGCTATACTGAAGTTGTTAATAGCGTCACAAAAGTTGTTAACCGTTATACTGAAGTTGTAAAAATTTTCAAACAAATTGTTTCCGGCCAGTGGAGCTTCTTGAGTTTCTCAGAAAACTTGTTGTTAACTGCTATACTAAAGTTGTTAATAGCGTTACAAAAGTTGTTAACTGTTATATTGAAGTTGTAAAAAATTTTTAAAAAAATTGTTTCCAACTGCCAGAGCTTGTTGAATTTCCCAGAAAACCTGTTGTTAACTGCTATACTGAAGTTGTTAAGAGCGTTACAACAGTTGTTAATCGTTATACTGAAGTTGTAAAAATTTTCAAACAAATTGTTTCCGGCCACCGAAACTTGTTGAATTTCTCAGAAAATCTGTTGTTAACTGCTATACTGAAGTTGTTAATAGCGTCACAAAAGTTGTTAACTGTTATACTGAAGTTGTAAAAATTTTCAAACAAATTGTTTCCGGCCACCGGAGCTTCTTAAGTTTCTCAGAAAGCTTGTTGTTAACTGCTATACTGAAGTTGTTAATAGCGTTACAAAAGTTGTTAACTGTTATATTGAAGTTGTAAAAATTTTTAAAAAAATTGTTTCCGGCTGCCGGAGATGTTGAATTTCCCAGAAAACCTTTTGTTAATTACTATATTGAAGTTGTTAATAGCGTTACAAAAGTTGTTAACCATTATACTGAAGTTGTAAAAATTTTC